CAACTCCTCACCCACTAGACCACCAGAGCTCCCTACAGGTTAAATATGTATAAAGAAAGGATACAATCCTGATGCATACCTTGAAGTATTTACTGAAGAAGATCAAAGACTCAAGCCTTTACTATAGATTATATCTCAACATCAAGGAAAAAAATATTTTCTCTCCACTGGAAGAATAGGCAACATCATGGTAGGTGGAGAAAGGATTAAAATTATCAATGCTTTCATCTTACTTTAATCTACCTGGTGGCAACAGTCAGGAAATCAAAAGATGTGTTACATTGGGGAAATCTGCTTTCAGGAACCTCTCCAAAGTGCTAAAGAGCAAGAATGTGGACCTGATCAAAGCCATAGGGTTTTGTTTTTGGTTTTTTTGTTTTGTTTCATTTTTTGGTTTTGTTTGTTTTGGGTTTTTTCCCCCACTTAACTTGCTGTGTATCTCAAAGTTTGACAGTGAATAAGTATCACTAAAGAAGAATCAGTGTCTTTCCGTTATGATATTTTTATTAACTAGGTATTTGTTGTTGTTGTTGTTGTTTTACCTGTGACTCATAGCACCTGTATAATAGCATGAAAAATGCTGTGTACAATAGATCTGAAACTTGCCCTATCCTGAGCCAGTCTCGCTATCTGACACCCTACCACCTCAGTTACTGGTGAAAATCCTTTCCTCCAAAGAACAAATAGGCTTCACCTTCTCCAGGACAGACCTGTTTGTTCCTTTGGCAGTCCATAATAGGCTCAATACTCTTCACCAGTACCATGGTTCAAAGGCGTCATCCTTTCTTCTGTCATTCTTACGCATTATCCAGCTTTCTGATGAGTAGCATATAATTGCACGACCATTGGTCTTGATCAGACACACCCTAGTCTCTAGACTGACATTGTTGTTCTTTAGCACTCTGGTCAGGTTGCTGACAGCAGATTTTCCCAATGCAGTTCATCTTTTGACTGCCTGTCTGTATGAAGCAAGAGTGTAGATTGAAATTGTTAACAATCCCAATCTCTTCTCCATCTGTTATGGTGCTGCCGGTTGTCCCATTGTTGAGAATCTTTGTCTTCTTGATGTTGAGCTTCAGTCCATGTTGGACACTTTAGTTCTTGACCTTCTGCAGCAGATTTGTCAGGTCCTCCTCAGTTTCGGCAAGCAAGGTTATGTCATCTGCATAGCACAGGTTGTTGATGAGTCTTCCTGCAATCCTGATACCACATTCCTCCTCATAGAGTGCAGCCTCCTGAATAATCTGTTCCAAATGTAGACTAAAAAGGTATGAAGAAAGGACCCATCATCTCCCATGCACTCCTTTCTTGATTTTTAACCATGTAGTGTTTCCTTGCTCTATTCTGATGACTACTTCCTGGTCCAAGTGTAGGTTTTCATGAGCACAATCAGGTGTTCTGGGATTTCCATTCTTCTCAGAGTTAGCTACAGTTTGTTATGATCCACACAATCAGTGTCTTTACATAGTCAGTGAAGCACAGATAGACATTACTTCTAAACCCAGCTTGTACCTCCCTGTAGATGTACTCTTCCAGTCTGTTTTGGATGATCTTCAGCAAAATGATTGTATAAAATTCTGTAATTCAGTCTCGAGCCTTATTTTTCTCAAATGCCTTATTGTCCAACTACCAGTCCTTCATTTTATTTCTAATTTTTGTATTCCAGTAACCCGTTATTATTAATACATTTTGATTGCATGTTCAAGCAATTTTAGATTACAAAAGTAGGTGCTGTTGTTAGATGTTATTAAGTCAACTATCCCTCACAGCGATCCTGTGAACAACAGATCTGAACCTTGCACGATCCTCATGATCTCTGTCTTGCTCAAGCCTGTCACTGTGTCAGTCTATTTCATTGAGGGTCTTCCTCCCTTTCATTTACCCTCTACCTTTCCCAGCGTGATATCTCTCTCTTAAGGACTGGTTCCTCCTAAAAATAGTTCCAAAGTAAGAAAGACAGTGTTTTACCGTCCTTGCCTCTAAGAAGTACTCTTAATTTTACTTTCTTCAAGATGGGTTTGTTTGTTCTTTTGACAGTATTCATTACTCTTCACTAATACCACAATGCAAAGACCTTGATTCTTCATCAATCTTCCTTATTCATTGTCTAATATTTGATGCATAGGAAGCAATTTAAAAGTTCATGGTTTGAATCAGGCACACCTTAATCTGTACATTAACATTCTTGTTCTTTAGAATTTTGAAGAGGCTCTGACTGAAGATATCCCCAATGAAGGAGATCTTTTAATTTTTTTACTAATTTCAGGTACTGATTGTGGATTCAAGTAAAATTAAATCATTGGCAACTTCAGTCTTTTCTCCTTCTATGTTTTTTAAAAATTTTATTAATTTTAATGAACATTTACAAAGATTTTAGATTTCCATTTATTCATTGTTGCACTTTTCTCCCTGCCCACCCCCACCCTTTCCCCCAGTTCGCTCTTCTCTTTGAAAAGTAAAAGAAAAATTCCTTCATTAGTATACAATTCCCTTGCCCCCCGCCCCGAGTACACTCCACGATGCAACCTTCATTCTGGACTCTTGTGATAGCCATAATACTGTATCATATATCGCTCTTAAACTGTTCTCTCCCTCGTCTGTTTCAATGTCGTATACATAATTTATCCAGTTTTTCTCAGTCTTACCCCAACTCTGATTTCTCCTTCTGTTATAACATTGCCTTTGGTCCAGTGATGAGAATTTTGGTGTCTTGATGTTGTACTATAACCTATATTGACAGCTGTAATCTTTTCTATTCTGCAATAAATGCTTCAGGTCTTATTTCTTTTTTTTTTTTTTTAATTTTCATAAAATGACTTTTACTTCTCTCTCATTTCTCTTGACAGTAATTCTTGGCAATGTGCATATAACATGAAGGCAAGCATAACTTTCAGAAGTCACCCAAGATAGTGTTCTCTCCTCATTTTCTCAACCCATTAAAATATTTTCATTTATAAAAATTAATCTAAATATAAATATTGACACTAAAGATCAAAATCACTTGATGACAAAATAATTCTTCTGGAGCTATAACATAGGCTTATGGTTTTTAATAGTAAATTAAATATTTGCACTTATTTGGCACAAGGAAACCTTTCTAAAAATTCAAATGCCACAGAGCAGGCTGCTGCTTCTTCTTTTTTTTTTTTTTGCAAGGCTTACACAGTACACGTTTCTGTCAAAGAAAAGGGATATTTTTAACACTGGAACACAACAATAGTTGCTTTTCATGCCTCTTAAAGAAAACGTTCTATTTGGGACTCAAATCTTTTTGTTGTTGTTGTGTTTCTTTTCTTTTTTTTAAATGTTTTTGCTTGTTTTGCTTTGAATCACACCAACAGAACAAAAAAGCCAAAGACTGACTCGGTTTCAAATGAGTCACTTCTGTCGACAGCACATACACAGCATCTGCTGAGGCATCACTGGGAGATAGGTAGTCGCCGCCGGGGGCTGCTTCATTTAGCGTCAACTCAAATCGAGACGTGCAAGCAGCGAATGGACACAGAGGCTGAAAACGGTGCAGGGTGGTGGTGCCGGGCGAGGCATTCGTTCCAATTCGAATTAGCTTAGAGGGGTGACTTTGGGCAAAATGACCTCTCTGCTGCTCAGTTCCCACATCAGAAAAAGGCGAGTAGGGTTGCTGTAAAGATGAACATGAAAATAAATGGACTCTTCCCGTGCAGGCTCTCCAGAGAGGCAGTCATACTATGCCCGTGCCTATTTTTGGTTATATATATATATTTTGCCTGCCTTCCTCAATTTCAGGCTATCTCACAGTAAAGTATGAGGAAATGTTGCTGATACCCAGTAAACTGAGCAGAATTCCAGTTTCATTTGCTTTTATAAAGACACTCGAGAGAGTCATGCATTTGAAAGGGTCCCCAGGGAGTCCACGTTGGTTCTGTGTCTAATACATTCACATCTTACCCTGACCTTGTTCATGCCTGTACGTTGTCTAAGGCTACTCCTTAGATACGTTTCCCTTGTCGCAACATTTTTCACTCTGCTGAGTATCTCTGGGGAAAGAAATTTTGGAGGACATGATTATCTTCTGCAATAACTCATTCATCTAGACCTTAGGGGTGTGTATGTGGGGCATGGCCATTTCAGAGTGGCACCACGCAGTTCTGGGGATGGTATCCTGAAGGTGAACCAATAGAGTGGCCTTTTCCACGTTCCTCACCCTTTTAGAATGGGAGTTTTCAGGAACTCCCTGGGGAACCCCCCCCCCCCAATTTCTCAATGAACTCCTGTTTTCGGTAGACTTGGGGTCAGGGGAGAGGGCCTGGTAGCCCTCCAGCAGGTTGTGGCATGGTGACGACACAGTTTGCCATTCTGAGGCCCGTGGGTGGCAAAGCAAAGGGAATGGTTGGTTGGATGGAGGGCTCCGGGTTTAGCAGGAGGGAGGTGGCTGGAGACAGATCTACACCCTTGGGCGGTGAGCACTTGCCAATCAGGCAGTTCCTATTCTCAGTACAAGAACATTAAAAAAAATTTTTTTGTATGTTTTTTTACACATTTGCAAGACAAAGATGCTGGTGAAAGATAAGCCAGCATTTGTGAATGAAATGATAAGCCCCACCAGTCCCTAGCCCTCATTAATTTTCCTTTGGACAAATCGCTGACATGTAATCCCAGGACTACAAAAAGAAAAGAGCTTAGATGAATGCGCAGCGGCAAAGCAGGAGAGGAGACCGTGGTGGATCGTTTGTGCACATGAAGCTCTGTTTCTGTTGGAAGCCAGCCTCTTGGTGGTTCTGTTTTGGATCACCCACCCCCACCCCTGGGAGCCTAAGGCAGAGAGAGTGGGCACGTCCGCAGGGCTGGAGTCTGGGCTGCCTTCTGGGTGAGGTATCAGGCCAGCCCTGTGCAAAGGCCACCGTGGCCTCCCCAGGCCCCCTCCTCGGGTGGAGATCCATACAGTAGTTGATGGCTGTTGAGTCAAGGCACTGTCGTGTATACCGGAGGCAGTGGGTCACTGGCAGTGGAGTTCCATGGTGCTAGTCCATCACAGCGGACTCCAGAGTGGGCTCCATCGAGTCCCTGGGGGTGCCTGTCCTCTCGTTGGTCCTGTGTGCCGAGGAGCCTTGGAGAATGAAGTTGTGGTTGAACGTTTTCAGGGCCGTCACTGAAGAGGATTCTTTTTTTTCAGCTTTCACAGGTGGGGCGGGCAGCTTCCTCCTCTGTTGTCTGGATGTGTCTATGGTTTGAACCTGGCTCCTCTGCTTCTGGCTCCGTTTTCTTGTGAGGTGCACACAGGGCGCGATGTTTAATCCGGCAACAGTCAGGGCTGCGATCCAACTCTCGAGGTCAGAAATCTGGAGCTCAGCGTGGTGAACCTGAGCTGCAGCTGTGGCCACCTGGTCCTCCAGGTTTGCCAGCTCGGTCTCATTTGTGCCACGGTGGATGCAGCGGGCGGCGTCCTCCAGCTCTGTCAGCTGACCCTCCAGTCCATACACGGTCCCTGCCGCCAAATAGACGTTTTCTTCCAGGGAGGTCAGCTGCTCATCCAGTCTCACTTGGTCCGTCCCAAGAGGAAACGTCCCCTTCGCCCTGTCAAGAGGGACCGGTGGGAGCTCCCAGGGTCCTGTAGACTCTGCTATCAACTTCTCAGTGGCGTTGATGACCTTGAGGACTTCTGTGGAGATGTTGCAGAGAGAAACAGCAGAATACTTCTGGTGCGGGGCCACATCCTGGGGGTGGGCACTGGGAGAAGATGCTTCCTTGCTTGGCTCTTCCGAGCCCACCCGGGCCTGTCTCCACCTCCTGGCCCTCCTGTCTGCTGTGGGGGGCCCCTCCTCAGGCTCGCTGCTGTCTGAGGTCTCCCCACTGGCCATCTGGGGGTTGAAGTTCACATCCATCTCTCCCTGCAGCCACATCTTCTCCGCCGGGGGGCTCCTGGGGGGCTTCTTCTGCCACCAGGACAGCCTGGCCCAGCGCCCAGCTTCCTGGGAAGAGCCGGCGGAGGAAGTCTCCGAGTCCGAACACGCGGCCTCAGGGTTGGGGGAGAGTGAGGAGAAGGTGGAGGTGGCTGAGGGGCCTCGGGCCTGGGCGGGCTGAGGCTGGGGGTCAGCGAGCAGGCCCCGGGATCTCGGGCACAGCTTACTCAAGGCCTCACTCCAGTCAAAGTCCTCCTCGCTGTCGGAGCCCATCTCTTCATAGGTGGACACCACGCTGGAGGCGGCCTCCAGAGCCTCGAATGTCCCGCTCTTGGGCTTGGTCAGCAGGCAAGTGGGGGGCGGGGCACCCTCCTTCAGAGCCATCCAGTTCCCATCGGGGCTCTGCAAAACTGGGGCCAGGTTTGTTTTGTCCAGTCTGTCTGTGCTCCCCCAGCTGGGCAAAGCGGAATCCTCTCTGGGGTGCAGGTCCTCATCCCATAGCTGCCTCCAGCCGGCCTCCTGGGAAGCGGTCTTCAGAGTGTCTTCTCCGTTGATGGGAGAAGCCGAGTAGGACCTCCAGAGGTCAGGGGCAGCTTGCCGGCCTGTGGGGGAGGTGGCGGTCCCCTCCTGGGCTGACTTCACCCCACGGCCCTGGGGCTGTGGCCACTCTGGCTCCTCTTCTGCTTGCTGCTCGCTTTCATTTTTCTGCTTCCTTATGATCTTCTCAGGTCTTATTTCTGCAAGCAAAGTTGTCAACTGCATAACCAAAAGTTGGTTGTTGCTTTTGTTATTAAGTGCTGTCAAGTACGACTCATAGTATCCCTCTGAGTCTTGTCCTATCTTGCACTGTCCTTATCATCCTCAATGCACATGAGTCCATTGCTGTCCATACTGTATCAATACATATCACTGATTGTCTTCCTTTCTTTCACTGACCCTCCACCTTTCCAAGCATGATGTCTCTCTTCAAGGAAAATCCTCTAACAACATGGCCGAAGTAATGTGTGACAAAATTTCTAAACGATATCATTAATATCACATGGAAACAAAACATTGCTGAAGATTTATTTTTTAAAATTACTGGGACAGTATATACATAGACAAAGAACTACCAGAAATTCAACATAGATTCAGAAGAGATCATGGAACAATGTTGATGTCATTTGAGTTTTTGCTAAAAGCAGAGAATAAGAGGAAGACATGTTCTTGATGTTGTTATGTGCCATCGAGTCACTTGCAACTCCTAACGACCCTATGTACTGCAGCCCTAAACTCTGCTTTGTCCTGTGCCAGTCACACTGTCTCTGATACACCCATCCCGATCACCCCAGTCACTGAATCAAGCCACCTCATAGAGGGCCTTCTCCTGCGCTGTTCCTCGACCCTCGCAAGCATGATGTCCTTCTCCAAGGACCAGTCTCTCCTTAAAACATGTCCAAAGTATGTTAGACGGAGCCTCAGACTCCTTGCCTCCAAGGAGCCACCTGGTTTAACCGTTTCTAGTATGAATCTGTTTTCTTAGCAGTCCATGGTACTCTCAATACTCTTCTCCAGCACCAGAGCTCAAAGGCATCAATTCTCCTTCTATCCTCCTTGGTCATTGTCCAACTCTCTGATGCATAACAAGTGATTGCAAAGACCATGGCCTGTATCAGACGCACCTTAGTCTCCAGAGAGACACCATTGCTCTTCAGCACTTTGGAAAGGTCCCTAACAACAGACTTTCCCATGGCAATACGGTTTTTAATTTCGTGGCTACTGGTGCTACAAGTGTTGACTGTGGAGCCAACAAACTAAAGCTGTAAACAATCTCAATCTCTTCACCATCAATATTGATGCTGCCAATTGACCCAGTGGTGAGAATCGTTGTGCTTCAGATCCTCCTCAGTTTCAGCAGGCAGGGTTGTGTCATCTGCATAACACAGATTGTTGACAGATCATCCACCAATCTTGACCCCACATTTCTCCTCATAGAGCCCAGCTTCCTGGATAATCTGTTCTGCATACAGATTGAAAGGGTATGAAGATAGGACACATCCCTGGCCTACGTCCTTCCCAATTTTGAACCATGCAGTGTTCCCTTGCTCTGTTCTGACAACTGCCTCCTGGTCCAAGTATAGGTTTCACATTAGAATGATCAAGTGTTCTGGGATTCCCATTCTTTTCAGAGTCAGCCACAGTTTGTTATGATCCACACAGTCAAATGCCTTTGCATAATCAGTGAAACACAAATAGACATTCCTCTGGTATTCCTTGCTTTCAGCTAAGATCCATCTAACATTAGTTACAATATCCCTAGTACCACAACCCCTTCTAAACCCAGCCTGGCTTTCTGGCAGTTCTTGGCTGATGTGCTGTTCCAGTCATTTTTGCATAATCTTCAGTAGAATCTTTCTTGCATGTGAAATCAATGAGATTATTCTGTAGTTTCCACACTCTGTTGGGTCACCTTTCTTTGGGATGGGAACAAATATAGATCTCTTCCAGTCAGTTGGCCAAGTGGTTGTTCTCCAGGTTTCTTGGCACAACTTGGTGAGTACCTCCAATGCAGCATCTGTTAGCTGAAATACATCAATTGGTATACCATCTATTTCTGGGGCCTTATTTTTTGCCATTTCCTTCAAAGCAGCCTGAACTTCCTCTTTCATCACCATAGGCTCTTGTGTTTTATTGCTAATGCAAAGACTTTTAACTTTGTGGGTCATAACAGATTATGGTTAGTGTATGGGGGAATAGAAATACCAAAACAATAAACTGTATATTTTCACCTGTTTTCTATGCACCTGTAAGTTGGATGAAGAGTAAAGAATACTAAAGACAAATCTATGCCGTTGAATTGTGGTGTTGGAGAATAATGTTTAATACCCCATGGACTACCAAAAGAGCAAACAGATCTGTCATTGAGGAAGTACAACTAGAGTGCTCTTTAGAGGTCAGGATGATGAAGCATCATATCACAAACTTTCATCATGTTGTCAGGTGGGGTTAGTACTTGGGAAAAGACTTCATGCTGGGAAGGTGGAGGATCAAATATAGAGAGGAACACTCTCAACATGATGTATTCTCACACCAAAAATATGGAATGACACCGTGACCATAACAGTTGGCTTGAACATGTTAGAGATTGTGAGTAAAACAGTGGGCTTGAACATGTTGGAGATTGTGAGAATGTGTGAGATAGGTCACTTTTATTCTGTTATTTATACAGTTGCTATGTGACATATTCAAGCCTCAAGTTGCAATACTTAAGGATGCTTTTAGACAGAATATTAAATGATCCACTAAAAAAAAAAATAAATGATCCACTAAGCATTAAAAGAAGACCAAAGGAGTATACAGAGTCACTGTAACCAAAAGGAATTGGCTGACAGTTGTGAATTTCATGAAACAACATATCAAGAGCTTGTGATGAAGGAGGAAGTTCAGGCTGCTCTGAAGGAATTGGCAAAAAGCGAGGCCCCAGGAATTGACAGCATGCCAGTTGATAGATTTTAACAGACATGCTACCCTGTATACATTCCCCAAGTTGTGCCAAGAGATCTGGAGGAGGACCACTTGGCCAACTGACTGGAAAAGATCTATATTTGTGCCCATACAAAAAAAAAGTGATTCAGCAGAGTGTGGAAATTATGGAAAAATACCACATACAAGCAGGATCCTGCTGAAGATTATCCAAAACCGACTGGAAGAGTACATCTACAGAGAACAGCCAGATGTGTAGGATGGGTTTAGAAGAGGCCATAGAAGTAGGGACATTATAGCCAATATTAGATGGATTTTAGCTGAAAGCAGAGAGTACCAGAAGAATGTCTATCTGTGTTTCATTGACTATGCATAGGCTTTGTGGATCACAACAAACTGTGGCTACTCTGAGAAGAGTGGGAATCCCAGAACATTTGATTGTGCTTACGCGAAACCTATACTTGGACCAGGAGGCTGTCGTCAGAACAGAGCAAGGAAACATTGCCTGGTTCAAAAATCAGGAAAGGTATACACCAGGGATGTCTCACCTTTTCATCTATATGGAGAACAGATATGAGTAGGAATGTGGTATCAAAATTGAGAGAAGAATCACCAACAACCTATGTTACGCAAATACCACAACCTTGCTTGCCAAAACTGAGGAGGACCTGAGGTATTTGCTGCAGAAGGTCAAGGACTGCAGCCTTCAATATGGATTGAAGCTCCACATCAAAAAAAAAAGAAAGATTTTCAAATTTTATTTGAAAAAAGAAAACAAAGATTCTCACCACTGGGCCAGTTGGTAGCATCATGATGGACCGTGAAGAGACTGAGATTGTTTAACAGCTTCAGTTTGCTTGGCTCCAGAGTCAACAATCTTGGTACTAGTAACCAAGAAATCAAAAGACAAATTGCATAGGGAGAATCTGCTGTCACAAACCTCTCCAGAGTATTGAAGAACAACGATGTCAGTCTGGAGACTAACCTATGCATCAAAAAGCTGGACAATGACTAGGGATGATAGAAGGAGAATTGATGCCTTTGAGCTGTGTTGCTGGAGAAGAGTATTGAATATACCATGGACTACTTGGAGAACAAACAGAGTCATCCTGGAGAGGGTGAAATCAGACTGCTCCTTTGAGGCAAAGATTCTGAACCTTTGACATACTTTGGGCTTGTTGCAAGGAGAGATAATTTCTTGGAGAGAGATATCATGCTTGGGAGGGTGGAGGGACAGCACAGGAAAGGAAGACTCTGGATGAGATAGATTAACTCAGTGACTGAGGTAATGGGGGTAGGTATGTCAGAGATAATAAGGTTAGTTCAGGATAGAGCAAGATTCAGAGCTTTTGTACATAGGGTCACTATGCGTCACGAGCAACTCTGCAGCACATAACAACAATGAGACGTAGTCAACACAATGCCCCATAATAATAAAATAACATGTAAGGTGTGGATCCAACTTTATTATGTTACAATTTTGAAGCAATGTCTCCTGTTGTCCCAGGCTGTTTAATAATGATTAATCCTTCTATGTATTTTTTTTCTCAAGGTCCAAAAAACTGGCAGCTCTTGCAGAAGTCTTAAAGAAGGACTCCCTTACAAAGGCTCAGCTGGGATTAGAACTAGAAGAGTTAGAAATGGCAGCTGTTCTTGTACAAGAGGAAGAATCTACATTAAAAGCAGCCTGCTCTGTTTCCAGGCCACAGGTCTCTTGCTCTAGTCCTGAAGCAAGTGAGTCAGAGGAATCCGCCAGTACTTCATCCTTAGTAACTCAAGACTCGGATTCAGAGCAAGAGCTCCAGGAAAATGAATCCAAGTCAATAGTTGCTTTGAAGGATCCTCATCAAGAAGAAAGCATTGCCTTGCTGAGTGGTGGTGGTGGTGGGGTATGCAGAAGTGTGGCCCTCCCAGGGTCTGAGGGTAGTCAGGGGAAACCTCTTGGCCCTTCTCAAGTTTCATTATTATCTGGCCCTCTGATAGAGGAGCTTGGAGAACAACTGAAAATGACAGTACAGATTTCCAAACCTGAGGGCTCAGTCAGTGAAAACCACAGCATTGTGCAGGACCAGGACAGCAATTAGTGGACTCCTAGTGGTCTTATTCATTGTTAAGAATGATGTCAGGTTTGGTTTTATCTATTAATTAGGATTTCTCATTTTCATTCTGTATTTTAGCATAATGTTTTTCAGTAAGCTAATGTTTATCATTTTTTTGCTTTCCTTGTAGCTTTAAAAATAAAGTTCCAAAGTGTTTTTACCAAAGTTAAAGAAAATATGTACCAAAGTATTTAATATTTGGGAGATGAAAAATAATGGTTTTACTACCAGAATCTCTAGAATGTACCCATTATTATTTTTAACAGCTTTACTGAAGTACATGGAGCTGTATTTGACATTCAATAGCCTGCACTTAAGTTTTGACGTGTGTGTGTGTGTGTGTGTGTGTGTGTGTGTGTGTGTGTGTGTGTACTCAGTACAATTGTCAACCACAATCAAGATAATCAACTTAGCTCAAGTGTCATTGTCTGCTTTGTAACTCCTCCCCACTTGCCACTCCCTCATTTCTCAGGAACACAGTGGTCTGCTTTCTTCTGTTTCTACACTTAGGTTTGCATTTTCTAGAATTTTATGTAGCTTGAGTCATGTAATATTTTTTTGGTCAGACTTATTTTGAATTTCAGTCATGTGGTAGGTGGCATTTATCAAGAATTTTTATTTGTATTTTTAAATTGCTAAGTAGTATTTCATTGGATAAATTTATCTATTTATTTAATGATAGTCATCTGGGTTGTTTCCAATTTTTTACTCTTACAGATAAAGCTGTTATGAGCATTTATGTACAGGTTTTTTTTGCATTGACGCATACTTCACTTCTCATAGATTATTATCTAAAAGTGAAATAAGGAGCCAGACTTTGGAGGGCATCATGCTTAAAAGGGTGGAAGTCAGGATTGGAGAACTCTGAGATGGATTGATTGACACAGTGACTATGACAGTGAAGGCACGTGTATCAGAGACTATGAGGTTGGCTTGGAATAGGACAAAGTTGAGAGCCATTGTTCATAGAGTTACTATGAGTAATAGTTGACTCCGTAACACCTAATAACATGAGTGAACTCTGGTGGTCAAATGGAAAGAAGTTGTGCTGCAACCATCTGCTCCATGGGAGAAAGATGAACAATCTCTTCTTGTGCAATTAACTGCCTCTGAACACTCTTTGGGGGGGGTCTCTGTGAGCTGGTTCCAAGTCAGTGGCACCCAACAGCATGGTAGTTAGACCGTTACAAGAAATTTTTGAACTAGCTTCCAAAGTGGTTACAGCATTTGCACTACTGGTGCATGCGAGTCTAATTCTTTCATATGCCTATGTCATCACTTTTTTCATTTTCCCTTTCTGGTAAGTATATCATGTTTGTCATTCCCATAACTTTGATGAAAAAACGTATTCAAATATTTTGTCCATATTTGTGAGAGTTCATTATCAATGCTGGGCATAGAGTGTTAAGAAATAGGTAGATTTTCATTTTTTCTTCCATACGTGTTTTCAACTCTTCTGATACCATTTGTTGAAAAAGTGTTCTTTCTATACCTAATTGCTCTAGAATCTTTGCCAAACCAAACAGACCTCATTTTTGTGGGTGTTTTTTTTTTTAATTCTCTTGCTTTGATCTATGCCTGTCCTTTTTTCCTTTTGAATTTCTAGCTCAATTTTGGGTTAATAAGAATGACTTGATATTAAGTTTCCCCACCTATAATTGTAAAAGTATACAATTGACTTTTATTTGTTTGGACCTTTCATTATGATGAACCTCAGTGTAATTCCTTGTTCTTGAGTTTATTGGAATTCTTGTTCTTTACATTTATGACATTCAGAGAATATTATGACATCTTTTTTTTTTTCTTCAAGAATTATTTTACTCCCCCTCTTGTTTGGGGGTCTCTTAATTCTATAAATTTTAAAAATTTCTTTTTAAGTTATTAAATTACATTTTATATATATATATCTGGCAACCTAGTCAGTAGCGTTGCAATGCCAACCCAAAGAAGAGCAGTTCAAATCCACCAGTAGATCCATTTGTATATTATCCAATTTATTTGAAGTTATCCCATAATTCACTGATGCTCTTTTTTAGTTCAAATTTATGTTCCATGTTTTATTTTACATAGTTTCTATTGCCATGTCTTAAAGTTTGCTGATCTTTTCTTCTTGTGTATCCAGCCTTCAATTAATTACATTCAATTATTTTTAATTTCAGATAGTGTAGTTTTTATTTTTAGAAATTAGATTTCTTGTGTTCTTTACGCTTCTATTTTTTTTATTTTTTTCTGCATCAACTTAGGGTTTGGTGGTTTTTTTAGTATATAAAATATAATTATGTAAATTCTTAATTCTAGCTCAAAAAACAACTATGAGATACCATCTCATCCCAGTCAGAGTAGCAAAATTTAACAAAACAGCAAGTAAAAAATGCTGGCAAGGATATGGAGAAACTGGAACCTTTATTCACTGTTGGTGGAAGTGTAAAATGGTGCAGCCACTGTAGAAGGCAGTGTGGCACTTTCTTAAAAAGTTGCAAAGAGACTCACCCCAGTAAGACTAGCAAAATTTAACAGAACAGCAAGGAACAAATGCTGGCAAGGTTGTGGAGAGACCGGAACCCCTATTCACTGTTGGTGGGAGTGTAAAATGGTGCAGCGGTGTGGTGATTTCTCAAAAAGTTGCAAATAGAGATGCCATTTGACCCAGCAATTCCTTCCACTACTGGGAATATACCCCGAAGAGATCATAACTGACATCCAAGCAGATATATGCACACCCATGTTTATCGCGGCATTGTTCACAATAGTAAGGAGTTGGAAACAACCAAGTGCCCATCAACAAATGAATGGATAGAGAAGCTGTGGTATATTCACACAATGGAATACTATGCTGCATTGAAAAACAAGGAACTCATGCAATATTA